CGTAATAACTCTTGTTGACTGCTGATTGGGAGGGGGGGGCCCCACAATTTGATATAGGGGTGTTGCTTTACAACTTTTCCTCTGGAGTATCTAACATCTTTTGCCATTTCCTCTGACTCTCACTTTTCGTTGTTTTTCTTTCACATGGCTTTTCTCTCGGTTTTCTGATTTTGTTGATTATTATTTACTTATTTATTGGTCAAATCACATACAGCTAATGGCCACAGCTGTAGTTACTTCCTTCAAATAGTCTCGCGGAAGAGAAAAAATTGCTGAGATGAAAACTTCATAAACCCAACAGATGAGTAAGCGAGCTGATTGGAGAACAGTAGCGTTATACATGGTTTTTTTAAACCTCGCATGTCTAACTAAGAGAAATTCCTATTCAAAGGTGACGAATCCTTTTGAGACAGGCTATGACAATGCTAGCCTTCCAAACGTTGAATTGGTACCGAACGAGTCACCATGGAGAAAATTTCTCAATGCTGACTCTGCTGGTCCTCGCAAGGTATTCTATAGACCAAAGGCGCATTAACATGCCTCCACGATTTTGAATGGAAGTCGAGAACCGTGAGAAATATAAGGACATTGATACAGAGAAAATTCAGCCTTCATTTTCTGTTCCGACTTTTCTCTCGCCACCCTGGACCAGTTATTTGCTCTATGCTCATATCAAAGATCAGAGCAGCTACGCAATTTCACACTTGGAAAAATACAATTATAAAAATACAAAACTGGTCGCTAATAATTGACTGTATTCCATGCACTGTGAAACAATCACGATCCATGATTGTCAATGCGAATAAATCCCTGTGGTGTCAGAGGTTAAGCGGTCAAAGCGGACGTCGAGTGCTGGAAACCGGTTCCTGGCACGCAGTGTGTAACAGTAGCTGTGCCATTTGTTTCTTCTGAATCCGATACCTCACCTGTTTATTTCCTGATCACTGTGTTTCACTCGAATTTCCTTACATTTCTTTCCATTGGTTATCCTGTTCCTCAGTTTGATGCAGTCCAACTGACTCGCCTACATGATCAGAACCCCATCAATCTGCGCAACAGAAACAACTGAATAATTGGCAGTGGCGTGGGATTATTAAATGATAAAGTATATATCAGGGGCGGAAGTGGTGTAGTGACAAGTGGCGCGCTTACACACGCGAGCGGTCCGGGGATCAAATCCTGGGTCGTGAGTCGCCCGGGCCAACCAAGCCTTCCATCCCTCCGGGGTCGGTTAATGGTACCAGACTTGTCTGGGAGGATAAAAACACTGACTTGAACATCGGCTGGCCCCCGCAAGTCATTGTATAGGCCACATCGCATTCAAACGCCACTGCGAATGTACAAATGGAAGTAGAATGCGTGCCGCATCCCAAAAAGGGATTGATCAACGGCAAATGCTTTATCCTTTATTATTTCCTATTTCTTTAGGCGGCTGACTTTTCCCGAACTTCCAAGAAGATTCGCTTGATTGCCAGAGTCGCGGTCCGCACCATGCGAATCGCTCGAATTAGCTGATATCGCAACGCGGACTGCGCGACGCTAGGCGCTAATAGCGATCGCTGGACTTTCGCAAAGTCTATCATTGAGCTTTAATTTTCATCTTCACTTAAAAGGAAACCTCGTGTGCCTCAGGGCTCGGTGCATTCCTAGATCCGCCTCTTGCGTGTAATGTTCGCGGAAGGATGTGGGTGGGGGCGTTGGGCAGAGTCAACCCTGCGTTGCGCAGTTTCGCCCGATTAGACACGTTCTCTCGCGCGAACATTCACACTCGCATGCTCGAGCCGTCTGTGTCTCCGCCCATACAGCGTGCGTTGAGGATCTCTCAACGTGCCGTTGCGAACTGCGCAACGCAGGGTTGACTCTGGTGGAGACGAGCTGTACGCTGCACCATTCTCTACCTGACTGAAAGGCTGTCTCTACCTCTCCCATTGTTGCCGAGAGCTGCTAGTACTGAGTTGGATTAAAGGCGCTGAAAGCGGTGCCTCATGGGAAAATTGCAAATTCTAGCCTTTTCAGAAATATCACAGGAGTTGCGCTCACGATCAAAGCCAAGCGTCGTGTTGGGTATGACAGTAATTAGGACGTGTCCAGCATAGGGTTTTTATTTCTTCCGGTTTAAAAATTTGTTTTCTTTTAAGAGGCATGGAAGGAATTTTTTTAGTTTTTTATTTTTTTGTGGAGGTGGGGGGGGGGTAGCTCTCGAATCAGCCACCAGCCACGGTTGGCCTTGCTATCATTCTGTACCAAGTAGCACCAACCCACCAACCAGCTCGACGTGCCTAACCGTCCCCTTCGGGATGCTCTCTAGGTGTGTGGTGAGATAGGGGAGAAAATAGGTGATAGAAGAAGACTGCGGACAGAACTAGCAAAAAATGGTGTTGCGCGAACTCTAAGCTGTTCTGGTTGCAAACACGCCGACGACGGCGACGGCTGACGGGGATGGGGAGCAGGATAGTTAGAGAATTCCATATAGCCGCAAGCGAACTTAAAGGACGAATTCACGCTGAAAGGCAACCCATTTCAAATTAACTTAGGGATGGTGAGTGGTACACGAAAGAAGGAAGAACCATGAGAAACGGCCCAGAACCCGAGAAATGGGACCCCTTCCTTGCCCGTTGATTTGAGCATTGATGCGACTCTCATCGCTGTGCCCTCTTCAACACTACACAGAAGCTCCGCCCTCATTACCACAGAAAACGATACCTTAAAGGAATCTTCCACGGAAAGAGTGATCATTTTGTCTTGTGTGTAGGATTAGTATTATCGAAACTAACGCTTATGTTCCGTTCTTTTTGCTATGCTCATGAGGCTAGGGGCCTAAGGGGTATCGTTTTTCTGTGGTAATGGAGGCGGAGCTTTTTCCGCGGAAGATTCCTTTAATAGGTCGCCGAGGTCAACTCCTTCGGTGCAATTGCGCTTCAGTTCGCACCCTTAGGAGGTCCGCGGGTCCCTCAACTAGGTGAATTACTCCTTTTTTCGACCTTCATTCTAATCGTGAATTCGTCCTTTAAAGGCACTATCCCGCAGTCGGATTAATGTGCCTTTTGCTGTAAAATGAAAAGCGATTGCAGAGTGGACCGACAGTGAAAAACACAGGAAGGAAATCATTGAAGTTACTGAAAATGAGTGCCTTATTCTTTCCATCCTTCTATGCCATGAGGGAGTACAACCAACAGACAGTAAAATAGGAGGTTGTGGGCAACGAGGAGAGAGAAATGGCTTACAGATGAGAGGGCATTGATTCGAACGAGATGAACATTTTAGGCATCCATAGATCTTAGCGCTTTTCCTGTGCCGAAGTCTGTTCATCTTGCTTATTTGCGGAGGCCTTTGTTTTCTCCAGGCTGAGCTTCACCATTGACTTGATCATGGGGGGAACCATTAATATTTTGATAATGAAGCTTGTTTACAACCACCTGAGACGATTTTGGATGAACTGGTTGGCGCTGATCGATACATTTAGTATAGATCCAACATGCACTTACTTTACACATTCAAAGTGTATTAGGGGGAGATCAGTGAAAAAAGCCGTTTTTTGGTGTTGCTTTTTCTAACATTGATTCAAGCAGAATAACAAGGCATAGTTTGATCCTGTATACGACTACATTTCCAGTTTGATCCTGTATACGATTACATTTCCTACATTTCTAACGCAAATAATTGAATATTGCATCAACCTACTTATTTACTTTATTTAGCTATTGTTACGCTGATTTAAAAATTCTTGATGAAGCAACTTTTTATGAACCAAACCTTGCAGCAGCCAAGCTTGACGTCTTCTGAGATAAGGTAACATTCTCAAATCATAGTGGTTTACCTTAGGTAAAATTCTTAACACTGCTCGAGTATAAGTAACCCTCCAATTTTTGAGTGTTTATTTTACCTATTTTTCATTGGAGCAAGTTAATTCGTTTGCAGAACAATCGATGTGCTTCAGCTGCTCTTTTTCCCAAACAAAAATTTGTATTGGTGGTGCTCGGCAATGCCCCTTGTCACGTTCCACTTTGACCCGGTCCATGAAAGAAGTGCACGAGTGGTTGAAGGAATGAGCTTATGGTTAGCAAAGGGATTTTTTGTGGGAAAACACTACAGGTTGAAATGGCGTGGGAGGCAAATTCCAGTTTGATCGGATGGGGCTCATAATTAGGCCACCTGTACCTGTACTGGGCAGCTTTTTCTGATGCACCCCAGCCCCGCTATAGTAGCGGTTTGAGCGTTTGATATTTCAACGACCACAACTACACCAGCCGGTGTTCAAGCAAAAATTCATGGGCAGGTGATAGAGTATACCACATACCTACCCTACCCAATACCTAACCCTGAGTTTGCTTCGGAAGGATTTTCAATACCGTTCCAACCAGCTTATAGCCCCTACCTTTACATATGGCTGCCCTTAAACAACTGAGAAAATTTACATGTTTAATTAGTCGTTTTGAATCTAGTCAATTTTCATATCCAAATCGTATAACTTTTCATTCATATTTTGTTTTGTTTTCATTTTAAGAGTTCGTTGTGTAAAATAAAATGAGACTTTCGGATAAAACAATACAAAAATCTATTGGCTCAACTGGCAGCGCCCTTGCCCGATGAGCAAAAGGTGCGGGTTCGAGTCCCGTCTGTGGCGAATGTTTTGTTCACAACCCAGCATTCTTTGTGACAAGGCAAACGGCGGTCAAAAAAAAGTTCACAATCACAAACAAAAATTTATTTTTATTATTGTTTGTTTGTTTATTTTATTGAAATTGATCGTCAATAATATAAGTAGTATAGATATATGATTAGTACCAGATTTTGTGACACCTTCGAGGCAAATTGGTGACAGGTGGCATCCGCTCAGTTATAATCGGACTCCACTTCATTTGCAAGTCCACTAGCAGCTATGAGTCATCTTGAACTTCCGCCTCGTTCAATCATCCCACTCACCCTTTTTGGCGCTTCCTCTGTGGCACCACGGATTTTTTTGTTAAAAAATCAGTCGATAAATACTCTACAATTCAGATATGGATCCGCATACATTGCGGGACTGTTTGTCTGTGACTGGAGTCGATTCGCCTGGGAAATCCATAGCGGCTGGACCAAATGGACAACTGATTTTCAAGTGAGCATATCAAATAATCGGAGGGTGAAACTCCAGTTCGGGGGGGCCACTCCATTGCTATCTTATCCGTAGTACTAGAGAGCAGTTCTTGGGCTATCGAACACTACGGATAAGATAATAAGTGAACGACTCATTTCGAGCGTACTTTTGATAAGGACCGGTGGATGTCCTACATTCCACACTACCTGCCCACATCCCATCCACTTTTCTGCACAGGTGATCCACCCTGGAGCTCCTGCACCCTTAGCCCTTTGCGGAGGTGTCCTTTCTCCTGGTCCAGGACCGTTCCCTTGGGTCATGGCAGGCGGAAATGTGAAAACGTTTCAGGGTTTCTCACCCATTACACCAATATTTATCAGAAGTCTACTTTAAATGAGTCGATTACGTGTCGTGAGCCCTCTAATCCTTATCTTGAGTATTGGAGAAAAAATGGAGTGCCCCCCCCCCGAACTGGAGTTTCACCAACTTCGGGCTAATTTTTTAACTTTTCGGGAAAAATTCAGAAAATCAGCCAGTCAGCTCTACTACTGTGATGTGCACGAGATGTCATCGTACACATTGTGCTTGTCGCGGATGGATCCCCTATATCAGGCTGTCCGGGGACATGATTTATATTGCAAAGGTGAAGTTAGCCATGCTCAAAGAGAAAACGGGGAGGGAATCTCACGCGGGCTAGTTCGTTTCTTATTTTTTTCAGCCGGCGTTGTGGCGGAGTGGGAGTGGAGGGGGGGGGGTGATGGCGCGTTCACGTTTGATGTGTGAGTCAGTTTGTAGGTGATGAGCAAACACAACTATCTTCACGTGGCGACCGATCATCGCTGGCTACAAAAACTGTTTGACTTTGGCGTAGTGGCTCGTAATTGGAAGGGTGTTGGGTCACAGTCCAGCTGAGACGGTTCCCAACAGAGAAAAACCATCCAAGATGGTCATCCTAAGGATGCTCACTATAGGGAAAAGTTGGTCTTGAAGGGGTTCGGAATCCGCACTCGTGCTTTCCGAGCACCATGCTTGAAGACACACCCGTGCTGGCGTGATTCTTGCACATAAAAATGAAAACAGGATGCGAAGTGGACCAAGAGTGAACAGAAAAAGAGGATTCTTTGATAATGCGGAAACTGAGGACTTCTTCATTATTGTCTTGAAGGAGAATTCCACGTATAACTCGAAGAGGGAAATTTGGCATTCTCAAGGCGACAAATCTCAGCCGAAGAACATGCAGCCGATGTTACAGTGTGGGCCCTCCCAACGGCGTTAACGGCGCGGCCCGCCCACCGACTGGCTAACCACTCGCTGCAGGTCTTCAGTCGTTCAGCACAGAGAGTGCATGTTAGCGATGAGTAGGGCAGCACCGATGAGGGTCGTATCAGTGCGAAATGAAAGGGCAAATAAGGGTTCATTGATTGGTTTCTGGTGGCGTTTTAATGGTTTTTCTTCATCCTGACACTCTACCTTAATCTCAATGGGCTGCTTTCTAATCGTAAACTCGCGTTTGTGGCAAGGCAAGCGACACAACGAGCATGGAAGAGAGACCCTATGCTGGAGAGCACCAAGTGTGGGGAGGCGCAGGAACCTACATGTTGCGAATTTCGAAAATAGAAGCAGCCGAAGTCTGGACATAAGGCCTTAGCACTTTCGCGCACTCATGAGGTAACGGTGCAATATTGCGATCTCATGGCAATCTCTATCCGCTACCAAGAAGAACTGGTTCACTTCAGTCCCATAATGGGTCTCCCTTCAAACGCGGACACTATCAGAACCTCACGCTCTTCATGGTAGTGTAATGGACTAGAGTGGTGCTCCAAAAGCACAAATGCTGGTTCGACGCCTCGTCGAAAACACCACTCTCTTACTGACTTGCAACGCGAAGTTCGCAAAGAGCGAATTAGCTTGAGCTCTAGGAAATTTATTCGTTCGCGGCCCTGAGGGATAAGTATAGCGCTAAGAGTGCTGGTTAGAGGGGAGCGATTGGCTGAGTGCAAGGACACCAGTCCATTTTGTTCTACTGCCACAAAAAATCATTATCTTAGCTTCCAGATTTACGACCTGGCATTCTGTCGACGGGGTTCTTTGCTGATCTGTCTTCAGCGAGTAGCAACCGGCGAGTTTTTCATCTGTGAAGGCACCATTGACAGCGATGCGTTCATCGTTGAAATCACCGGCACGGTTCATAAGACCAACATCGCCGTCGCGTAGGTTTCCTTGTTACTTGATAGCTGAGAATTCTATATGAAGTGAGGATTTTCAGCAAAGGAAAGAACGTGGTGCTGATTCGTGATGAAGCCGGTGTCGTTCTTTTATCGTATCCAATTCGATGGCAATCAACATCTCCTGCTAGCAGCTTTATCGAACTCTTTCATGTGTCAAATTTTCTGAGCTCATCCGTTGGCGACAAGTACACCATCTCTCTGCAGAGTAGAGAGATTTTCGATGGTAAGAGGCGATTTTATTCTAAATAGGTGGTTGCCCGAAAAGTTTCCGCCGTTTTTTGTAGCTACTTTTAAATTGATGTATTTCTGGTCGCTGTTCAAGAAATGTAGATTTTTTATATCGTTAGAAAGCTCGTTCTCGCTCTATCCAAACCTGCTATCTCTTTCAACACTGAATCACCTTTCCACTTTTTTTTGAAGTCTTGAATACAACATACTCAACAGCCTGCTTTGCACTAGTTTCTTGTTTCCCCTCAAACTTGCTCGGAAATGTGCGGAAGCAAGTTGCGATATCAACTAAGCATTTGGTTCGGAGTCCACAAAAAATACGCTGTGCAGTCGTAATTCAAAATGTCTTTCTCGCGATGTTGAAAGCTTTGAAGGAGATTAGTGATATCGGAGACTGATAAAGATCAGCTGAGTTTTGACCAAACCAAATCTGCATGAAACTGTTGAACAGGACTGCTTTTGAATTATGTGTAATCGAAGCATAGGATTTTCAAACATAGCGGTGAGGGTAAAAGCCCAAAGAAGTCGAAAATTGGGTGCCGCCGCCTCTTCTACCCACTGTTGCACAACCCCATCTCGGAGTTCCAAGTTGAACTAGCTGAGCTACGAAGTTGTGTTGCTAACATTTTACACACTGGACCTATTGCCTACACACTTCACCTTTCCAATCATTAAGATTTACTACGAAAGATTTAGCATCGTATAACTTCAATAGTCGGTGAATGACCTTCACTGAGTTCTAACTCACAAAACTCCAGCACTTCCAACATCCGGATCAGTCAAACTCATTTCTTGTAGGCAAAGGTATGGGATTGTAATAGTTTTTATTTCGAGCAAAGGCGCTTTGTTTGAACCGAGATATGCGCTTTTGAATTTGAGAGTCAAAATCGGCGGAAACTTTCCGGACAACCAATATTATGCACAATTGGAGGATGTGCCAGGTCAATAGGATCAAAGCAAAACGGAACCGTTTAGGGGAATGACATTACCATCCTCACTGAAAATGATACTTAGCCTCTTTGCTCAGCTGAGAATAAAAAAGAACGAACATTGCGTTAGTTCCGAAAATAATCCAAATAACAGCGAGACTATAAAAAATTTGAATTCCCGTTGTAAAACTGTCACAATCGTTGGCAGTGTGGAGCTAAAACATGCAAGGGTGTTGGGAAAACAAGTTTCACGTTCAAAATTCCTACATACTTAGGCGTGGTCTCAGGGTGTTCCCAAGAGGTCCCGAGCGGCAAAGGACGAGTCGCAGCGCATACTGTAGCGGTTAGGCGTCAGGTTAAACATAGTGTACCATACTACGTCTCATATCGCACAGCACGCGCTGCGACTCGTCCTTCGCCGCATCTGCGTCTCTTCCTTCGCCGCGCGATGGGCCTCTTGGAAGGACTCTTGTCATGTCACGCCATCTGCCATGGCACGCGTCGCGACAGTATGTACTTTTGACTCCACCCATCGTGGCAGGTGCAGTCGAGCAGGTGAGCTTTTCCAGGAGCTGTTTCTTTCCTAGATTTCATTCTCTCTGCCCGCAACTTTGTACATGAACATCTATGACTAGGCACAACACAATTATATAGAAGAACGAATAAAGAATGTCCCGCAATTAGCCCGACTGGGATAGGGTAGCGCGAGGAAATTGTGGGACGTACCTCTTAGATTCATGCAACTTCGTTGCTGCCACAAGTTGCGCGTGTTATGCGCTATTCTCACGAGCGCAAACCATCGACCCGCCTGCAATCGCTCCCACCCACCGCAAATTGATGTAGAGATTGGCGTCTCTGGCGATCTGGCGCATCGAGCCAGCCAAGCTTACTGAGAGGGGTTGGCATAACTAAAAACAAGGAAAAAACCAATAAATAGATATGTTAAAGTATAAAGTGGTTCGTTTTGCCCCCTAACCCAGACAAAACCACATTGTTTTCATAAACTCCCGGGGCTCATCAGTGAGTGAGGGGTGATAAAAAACAAAAAGTCATTTAGAAAATTAAAAATTGCAGACCTAAAAAATGCCTTGATTTTAGCAATTCCGGCGGTTAGTTTGCTTCCCTCTCCATTTCCAGTTCGTTTCGCGGCTCAGTCATCACCACAAAGTGCTACTATACACCATTTTCGTCCAAGGGCTTGCCTCTGAGTGTGTGTAGCAAGCAGGAATGAGATTGATGGCTGTACTTTGCAGGTGAAAAACCAAGAAAAGCTTGATAGAATAGTTTAGTACTGAGCTTCCGACCAAGATTGTCAATAGCTTTATTTGGCCGACGTTTCGGTGCTTTCACCTTCTTCAGAGCCTGGAAAAGTCGAAAGCTATTTAGGAAACTACCCGTCCAAACACTATTTCAACCTACAAGATTCATTCAACAGGGAGTAAATTACTAAAACAATGTCATGGAGGGAGATGAGAACGAACCTTTAGAGATGCTGGCCAGAGAGGTCCACCTGCCACCCCGAGCTGGTAGTAACGTGGCTTAAATAGGTAAAGCCTTAGGGTCATTTGCTTTAGGGACCTCCGGAGGGTTGATCATGTAGATCAAATCACTCCAAAAGACCCCTCGAGGCTAGGCGCGCCGCTGAACCCCCTGAACCCTTATTATTGATTACTATGCAGTAGCCCCCGACCCCGCCCCCGTCAGGAAGACCCCGCAGCTTTTGTCAGTATCAAGCATCAATCAGGAAGATTGATGCTTGATACTGACAAAAGCTTGATACTGTGGGAAAGTCTAGAAATGAGTGAAACATTTGTTATCAAAAAGGTGTCGTTCCCACCAAAGTCGCAGAAGTCAAATTCAACTTCGTTCACAGCAATTATTTGACATCATGGGAGTAAAGCGTAAAAATTAGGGCACTATAACTATAACGAAACACATTTTCTCTTTCTATTACATCTTACTTTGGATTGAGATCACAGATTCCTTTTCATATCCCCCCTGAATCAAAGATGGTCGACATCTCGTGAGACGATCATAAAATTTGCATTTTCGTCATGAAAATAAATCTTTCCTCATCCTATTATTTTCCACGAAATAGCACTTTCTGTTCATCCCGATTCGGTCGAATGCCTCATCACTGGGCGCTTTACCCTGTAGCGAATTCACGTTTCAGTGACTCGATTTAATCGGATTAACGTCAGCATTGCTTGCTGCCGTTCGTTGATGTATGTAGTTGAGTTGGGAAACTTGGGAAATGCCCGAAAATTTCAAATTTTCGGGGCTCAAATAGTGAACAACATGCTGAACAATATCGGTATTAGGGGAAAATGAAAAAAAAATGGTGGAGTTGCTATAACGGCGGATCAAAATTAGACCTTTTTTTCAGCGACATTCGCGAGTCCATTCATATCCCGCAATCACTTATATCTTTTCTATGGACATGACTATTCCAGATTTATGCTTGTTCCTCTCACTGGTACGTTTGCTTTGTTCACTGTTTTTTTACCAACATTTTGAACTTTGTCGTGCTCACGAATCGATATTTAGCAAAAGGCGGAGTCTCTCGGGGGAAACTGATGGGAAATCGGGAGACCAATCCGGGCTCCAAGTTGGAATTCTCTCTCGAAATTCTTGAACTTCAGCTTGGATTTCCTCTACAGCTGGCATACCTTATATTTAGACCGAAAAGTCTTGAGCAGCACTTGATAGACTTTGTTCAGAGAAGCTGTGTGACTCATTCAATTTTGAGGAGGCCTCTAGGTGGGGTAGTAATAGTAGGAGCCTGAGTGGAACCTGACCATGGGCAGGACCTCATTCACAAGGCTCTGCACAAACCCACGTTTAAGTCATGCTAAGTTTGTTTCGTGCTGAAGTAGAACCAGTGTTGAACGCTGTCAAGTAACTGTCAGGAAACGATAAAAAGGGTGTGTTTCACAAGAATGCTGGGTTGTGAACAAAACTTTCGCCCCAGGCGGGACTAGAACCCGCACCTCTCGCTTTCCGGGCAAGTGCGCTACCAGTTACGCTACCGGGGCACCATTTCATCCCAACTCAGCTTTTCATGGTATACTTACCATAGCTTTCAGCACTCACACGGCTAACCGGCTCAACGTTATACGTGTGAATGCTGGTAAGCTATGGTAAAGCATACCATGAAAAGCTGAGTTGGAATGAAATGGTGCCCCGATAGGTAACTGGTAGCGCACTTGTACGGAAAGCAACTCAAGTCCCCTAGTGCGAAAATTTGTTCACCAACCCAGCATTCTTGAAACTTCCAAGGCGAACGGCGGTCAACAACAGCAGTTAATAAAATAAAAGCAAGCCAAAATAAAAAGAGTGGTTCTTCGATTTGGTCAAGAAAAGCCGGAAAAGGTTTTTCTCCCTTTTGGATGCTTAAATTTCCTTTTGAAAACCTTAAAATCTATTCTTTAAAATGAGTGCTATACGGGTTTTTGAGATATAGCTGGTTTGCGCGTCATGCAGTTGAAATCGTGAATCAATCCTTAATTCTTTTTGCTTGACGTTCATGCCATTGTGATAAAGGTAGCCCGCTTTTGAGGGCGGGCGTCAAGGAAAGACGGAATTCTCCTCCTTCAGAAAGTTGACTGTTCTTTTTTTTTTAGCATATCTTACCTTTTAGTGCAAAAGGCAGCGAACCTTGCAACTGCGAGAGACTAACGCTTGGGCGAAAGAGAAGACATCAGTGCGAAAGCGCCCATATTCCATCCTTCAGCGGTTGTTAACACATTCACGCCGATGGCCGCCCATATGGGCTGCCAACAACATGCGCTCCTGGGACGATGGCAGCCCATATGGGCTGCCAACTGATAATCGCTTGCCAGGCGCTAGGAATGGACAGATAGGTGGGCAAACCTCGTAATCGAGTGTAAAATGCTTTAAATTCCTTCACGGGGAAAGTGAATAAATGCTCTCTTTTCGTAACCACTATTTGTCGTTCTGATCGAAATCCTACTGTTATATGTTTAGATAATCTTTACGCATTGGACATTGCAGAAATTATTTTGTGACATTCATGTTTTTGTTCATTTACAAAACAAAATCTGCGGTTATGTGGTGAGGCGGCGGCGCCCACAAAATCGCGTCCTTTCCACGCGACCGAAAAGTGGAAAAGGGGCGTCGTCGTGGATGTGTTAATGTGAAAAAGCTTCGCAGCACCTGTTTATCCTTACTGGGTGTGTAGTGCTTCCTCCTGGGATCAGGTCACTAAAAATTGAGACGCGGTTCATTCATGATCGCTCTAAACCTAGGTCTCAATCATAGGCTTAGGCATAAGCCAATGCGTAAGCATAAGCCTTAAGTCTGGACCGAAACTCAACCTTAAGCTTCAATGATCGCGCAACTGTGGTGACCAGACTTCAGGAGGAGAACGCACCCAGTCTCTCTTCCTTACTAATTACACTGCCCACGAACTGAGATGGTTCCTCGGCATGAAGGCACTAACGGAGTAGGTGTAGTCAATAGAGATCATTTTGCAGTGAGTGGAGTTCGATATACCGTCTAGTTTGGAAAATGATAAGAGCGT